AGAATCGAATAAATTTTTCCTGTGATCCGGATCCTCTTCAGTTCCACTGATCGTGTCATTTTGCGGTGTTTTTTGTTGTTGCCCACACGGGACGTGAACCGGGCAGGCACTAGGACCGGGCAGGCACTAGGACCGGGCTGGCACTAGGACCGGGCTGGCACTAGGACCGGGCAGGCACTAGGACCGGGCTGGCACTAGGACCGGGCAGGCACTAGGACCGGGCAGGCACTAGGACCGGGCAGGCACTAGGACCGGGCAGGCACTAGGACCCGGCAGACTCGGGCCTCAGAGGGAGGCTCCTTCACTACAACCTGTTCAAAGTTCCCTCGTGACGTTTGTCCCTCCGTGGGGAGCCGGGCAGGAATATCCATCAGGACTTTTATAACACAACAAGTGAGGCTGAGTCGTGGCGTTTGTGTTGACTTTTATTTTTATCTATTATTTCCCCTTCCTGTGTGTGATTTGGTGTTCCTGGAAAAACACCTGCGGGCTGCAGGTGAAGCGGGAAGTCCTCGGGTGGTGAAAAAGGTGAGGCCGCTTTTAAACTTTGGCAGAACAAAACCGGGACGACTTTGCGCTCTGCTCGGGTTTTAAAGCGCCTTTTCGCAGTGAAGAGTCGCCCGGTTGGGTTTGAGCTGCTGTAAGGTGTTTCCGTCCAGGTGGGACAGGTCCAGGTGGGACAGGTCGTCTCTTCCTGTTTGGACAAAACGGAAGCGGCAGCCGCTCCTTCACTTTCTCTCCTCTCTGCACCTGCAGCGGCTGGTCACTTTTCACCCTGATGAGCGTGAAGTGAGTTAAAACTTAGACGGGTTTTTTTTTTTTAGAGGTTGGAAACTTGCTGAAGTCGAGCAGGTCACGCCCATGCACGCTGTCAAACAAGTCTGGAGCCAAAACCAGAACCTAAAACCGGGACAGATGGGTGGGCTCCTTCAGATTGACTGTAAAGCACATGACTGAAAATGGGGAATATAACATGACAAAGTCATTAAACTGGAGGACACTACAAGGTGCTTTCAAAGGGAAATTAAATCCAGAATAAATTATGTGCTTAATCTGCATTAAGAAATTACTGAAGAGTTAAAGGTTAAAAATATGTTGAAACAGGCAGGATTTTTTTTATCTAGCAGATGATTTTAAGTTTTAAAATGGTGCAACCAGTCAGACCAAATATAAGTTATGTGCCAATACAAATGAATAATTTAACAGTACAAGCAAAAAGTCTCACTTCAGCACAAACTGTGGGTGGAAATCTGCAGCTGGTTTGTTGCTAGTAGAGTGTGTGCATGTATAAATTGTTTTTTCAGTCAACTAGCCTTTTTTTTATGACAATTTTGTTTACAGACTTCATAATTTGTTTTATTTGTGTTTTTTTATTTTGGATATTTAAGATGTTTTACATTTAGTTCTAAAGGTTCGTTCTAATTTAAAGATTCTTGAGCTTTGTGAACGTGTTCTTGCATTATTATGCCATTATCATTATATCGCTTGGAAATGGTCTCAAAACAACATTATTGTTTGCAGCAGGAACGTCTGGGACAATATTTCTCCCAGCAGACGTTATTTTGACAGATTTGTATTTACATATATATGAGTTTCACTTTGATGTGTAATTCGGTGACCTTTACCTCAGTGACATAACCGTAAATGTTATTCAAACTGATAAAGAAAATGACCTACGAGTAAAGAAATAAACCTCATTGGAGGCTTTTTCAAAGCCTTTTGACGTAATTAAGTTATAAAACACAGGAGATAAAAATGCTGATTAGATTCTAAACCAAATAAATATTAGAGGTGAGTATTTCTGTCCTTATATGAACTATTGAAAAAATTCAAATTTCACAAAAACTTCAATATTGTAAAGTAGAAAACATGGTGCTTGTTAACCATTATGAGTTGATTTAAAGCCTAATGTTTAAACATATTACGAATGTAAAAAAAGTACAAGAAGCCTTAAGATTGTTTTCTGTCCAGCAAAGTGAACCGTTAGTTCAATGACGGTTTCAAGTTGTACAAACGTCTCCGCAGTTTATAAGAGAAGCTGCTGGAACGACTCCAGAGATTTATCTCATTTGAATCTTCTCCCTCTTATTCGTCAAGTTGAAGGTTACGACAATTTACATCCTTTAAAAACTACCAATAAAATAAAATCCCCAGCGCAAAGGTATAAAATTTTAAAAATGCAATAAGGGATTCACAAAAAGCAAACAATTTATAGCATTTATTTAATACTAAACTACGTCTTTATAGAGTTTATGAAACATTATAAAGTTAATTTCAATTGAAAAGGTATCTCTGTATAATAACTAGTGATTAAGACAAAATCAAACTTAATACATCTTAGTGGTAATGAGATGTAGTAACTTATTCTCCATAAGCTTATTTTTTCCCCAATACTTAAAGTATTGTAGTAAAATGCAGACGGTGGTTTCTGCTCCTGTTATAAGTGGAGGAGAGCAGCGTTTGGACCGGCGGCGCCGGCCGCGGTTGTAACCGGGTCTTCAGGAAGCTCCCGTTCTGGATGCAGCCGCAGCTGGAGCATTAATCCTTAATTTCCATAAAGCTGGTCAGCAGAAGGAAGCTCCCTAAAACTGACTTTTACTTGATAAAACTCCTGGGACCAACACTCTCCATCCACACACTCTTTCATATGAAATAGAAACTTTCATCAGAAAATATGACCTTTGACCTCTTCAGTCCTTTAGCATCCTTTGTCTAAGATATTTGTAACATTGTCTCTAGTTCAGGAGACATGTCTGACATTTTGTAAACTATAACATTTTAAATGGACAGAAATAAGCATAAAAAGGTTTTCTAAAATGACTCCACTTTCTTTTGTTTTGATTTACGTGAATTGACTTTGGATGATCCAGTTTGTTGGATGCGCATTGAGCCTGGATCACAAATCATTAACAATATTAAATGATCTAGTTGAGCCTGATGGATATCAGTGAACAGAAACTTGATGCTGAGCCAGCATCTTTTTTTTTAAATCTTTTGCTGTTTAAAAAATTTACATATATTGCAATATGTAGGTGATTAACATCAATTTACAGGAAGCTAGATAGTTTTACTTTACTCTGATCCAGAACCGAACAGCATTCTGGGAACGTCTCAGTTTGTAACATCAACTACCTCGCTCGCTGTCTGGTCACCTGGCAACTCGCTGTCTGGTCACCTGGCAACTCGCTGTCTGGTCACCTGGCAACTCACTGTCTGGTTACCTGGCAACTCACTGTCTGGTTACCTGGCAACTCGCTGTCTGGTCACCTGGCAACTCGCTGTCTGGTCACCTGGCAACTCGCTGTCTGGTCACCTGGCAACTCGCTGTCTGGTTACCTGGCAACTCGCTGTCTGGTCACCTGGCAACTCGCTGTCTGGGGTCACCTGGCAACTCGCTGTCTGGTCACCTGGCAACTCGCTGTCTGGTTACCTGGCAACTCGCTGTCTGGTCACCTGGCAACTCGCTGTCTGGTTACCTGGCAACTCACTGTCTGGTTACCTGGCAACTCGCTGTCTGGTCACCTGGCAACTCGCTGTCTGGTCACCTGGCAACAGCCTGTCTAGTCAAAGATTTCACCACCTCAAAACTGTTTAAAAATAAAAAATGCAACGTTGTGGATAAAACAGGAAGGTTGACATCACCAGTTATCAGAATTTCTGACACTTAAAACAATAAACTGACCAATAATTAGTGAAATCGTCTGATAATTAGTGAAATGCTTAAATCACGATACGTTTTTCAGACAAACGTTCAGCCCTGAATAGATATTATGATAGATATTAATCCTCTTTTATTTTGTAGATTACCATTGCATTACACACCAGATTTCTAACTCATTAATTGAAGTGAGTCTAAGTTGTGGTTTTCCTGTCGTTGATTTAAATTATCCCGGCGTATGTAACGGTGTGTGTTGATGTTACTGTCATTCTTTGAGTGTCGCTCCTCTCACAGAGCTGGCGCTGGTCATGTTTGGACTTGCTCTGCCAGCCTCACGTCTCCGACTCGTTCTCATGCACACTCGCTGCTGAAGAACGCACCAAACAGCAGAACTAATACACAGTAATTAAAGATGCCAAGATTGCTTCATTGGGGGTGAAATCAAGGCAGAAAACCTACTTTGAAGTGTTATCACAGCTTATTCACAGCGTAACACACCACACTTACCTCTAGGGCTGAAGCAGCCTGATTAAACGAGATGAATCGATCATTGAAATACTTTCAACTCATTTTGTAATCAATTAATTAGTAACCGGCGTATGTAGACTCAAAAAAGGCCAGTTGCTGAAAGAACAAGATATTCAGTAGTAAATAGACCAAAGCTGTACAAAAATAGATACCTTTATATTTTAGATTTAATAAAACCTTTTTTATCTGTAAATATATTCTACCTAGAGCTCCTCTAGCTTTAGCTTCACCTTGTTTAAATGTATTAGAAAATATCTATTCCTAACAAACTACTCATTGAGATCAGCTCTAAATTGTACTTATTATTAGTCAAAAAGAAAAGATATTTTCAAATGTTAGAAAAGGTTTTTTAGCTGCAGATGCATCCTTTGCTACAAATGGTCAAAGGTTCACTGGAGGAATGCTAAAGCGTTAAATTTTAGGCGATATATTTTATATTTTAAAGAGGAATCAAATTATTTGTGTGTTTTACAAATAATAATGCATGTTATTATTTGCAAAATAATAACATGCATTATGTTATTAAATGCAAATAATTTTGTTACAAAATTATTTGCATTTTGTAATAATGCAAATAATCATAGAATTTGTGCTTTTCTGATATTGTTACAAATAATCTGAAGAGGTTAAAAAAATCTACAGAATTTGCCAGTTTTTAAAAATCCGATTTATGGATTAGAATAATCAACTATAATGATAGTTGCCGCCTTGATACAAAAGCATTTTATTATCTACATTACAAGATAAAGAGTAAAACAGTAGGAACATTTATGATCAGTGTCATTAAAACAACTTGTCCTCTGTTTGGTTGCAGCGGTTCGTACGGCCAGTATGTGTTCCAGTCGAAATATATGTGGGGGCAACAACCAGCCCAACAGAACCAGGTCCGAGTCCAGAAGATCAGGGGCCCACTACGCGCTGTGCGCCCTGGGAGTGGGACTTGTTGCCCTGGGGATCGTTATGATCGTCTGGACCATGATTCCAGAAGATAAGTCCCCATCTGGAAACAGTACTGCAACCCCTGCACAGGATGGCCTACAGAACGTCTCACCAGTCGCTCTGGTTCTGGTCGGAGTGGGAATGGTCATGCTGCTGCTGTCTGTTTGCCTCGGTCTGAGGAGCAAGAGGAGAGATCAGAACCAAAACGTCCAGCCAGCGACAGCAGGAAGCGGCTTCCTGGACCACATCGCAGGAGAGGATCAGTGAGTGACGACAGCTATCTGCTCTGCTCTTAAATGTTTAAATAGATAAATTCAACAGCTTCATATTACCACATTCCAAAAAAATTTAAAATGTCCTTTTACAGACACTGATTTTGGGAAAAATCACCACCTCCTTCTTTCCAAAAAAATAAAATCACTTAAGCCATCATTGTTCTAAGATATGCAAATTATTGACGTCCATAGCTTGTGATTTTAGCGCCCCCTGCTGCCACAAATGTAGATCATGAGACTGAAATGTGAAAATGGTTACAGAACAAAATCCCAGCCAAAAGCATTTTCTATTCATATTCATATTTTCCCTTTGAAATATGTTGGTTTTCTGACAAAAAAATATGATGAGGTTCAAATGTGATCATTTGTTTGGACTTAAAACTTAAGATTTCTTATAAAGAGACCTCATTACTGTTGAAGCAGGACAGAAGGCGTCAATGGAGGAAAAATTATAAAGTTTGTAATCACTTTTTCATGCTGTAAAAATCTGGCGCCATTTATATTCTGTCTTTTTGAATTTTAAAGTCTGTCTTTATAATTGCTGTTGTTTTCTGTTCTTTGCTAAAATATTGTTATTGTTTTATCGCCCAGCACTAGATTATAGCCGAAAAGGTTGAAGTTGGAACATGGCGAAGCAAAACCCAGAAAATGATACTAAATAAACAAACAAGATTGTCCATGCAACATGCAGGCTTAGTCCTGTTAGCATTTAGCACCACTTTACTAGCTGTTAGCATCATTTATGAACTCTCAGCTGTTTGGCCAAGTGATTTAATCAGAGACGAGCTTTTATGGATTTAAGTGTTCGCAGACAGACTTTTATGGGTTACCTGAATACAGCCTTTGATTCTGAGTTTCACATTCAGTTTTGCTTCACTCAACAGCTTTTATTTGGATGCAATTTTGCAAAAAGAAGCCAATTTTAAGTAAACTGTCACTCAAGAGCTCCATAAACTGCTCTCCTCACCAAAACAAAGTAAGAACCTTTTTAGTAAAAGCCAAGAAAATCTGGCTTCATTCAAGCAAGACGCATTTAAAGGGGACCGATTAGGTAAAATTCCCTTTTTGCACGCTTTTGTACTTCTTTTTACTTCCAAGAAACAGCCAAACGCTTAAAAAAAAAAACATACACAAACTATTATTTGGCAATCAGTTCATGTTTTTTGGTGTCTGAAAAATTAGCTGCTTTGAAAATTTTGTGTTAAGTCACAGATCAGCAGGTACTTCCCTTCACCTTGCAACCCCAGCAAAGCCCAGCTTGTTACCTAGCAATCCAAGCTAGCAATCCAAGCTACGTAACAAGCATTTATCAGTTGTATGTGCTGTACAATGGCTGCTGGAAAATACACGTTTTGTTGTTGACCTAACATCCAGAAACCACTTCCTGCATTTTTCTTGGTTGTGCAGGAGGCCCTACTTTTGCTTTTCAAAGTTGTACAGTTGTGTACTTGTGCATCTGTTTGCATCCATTTTCACATGAGTGTAAATGTGGATTTGTGGGCGTGGCCAGCAGCAGCTTATTTGGATTTAAAGTGACAGGAGGCCCTAAAACAGCTCAAAAAAAGGCAGAACTGACCAGACCGAATTACCGTTATCAAAGAATGATTTTGTGCGTGAACTGTACTTACTGAACATGTTTTGCATAGACCCATTTTTATAAGTACTCTATAGAATATTTTTACGATTATCCGAAGAATGAGGTCTTTCTCTCTCTCCTACCATTCACTCCAAAACCATGACCACAAATGCGGCGCGCTACATAACTTAACGAAGCTTCGAGGCAGATACATTTTCCTTGAGGAACTTTAATAGTCGAGGTGCTGGAATCGTTTCAGCTCTAATACCAACCTGTTGAAGCATTACCTTCCCCCCAGACGGTTTGTAAATGTAACGTATGCTGGCATTTGTTTATTCTCACAATGCTTTCTGATTGAGGGTCACCTGTTGCATCCCTTCCCAGGGACCCGGAGTCGTACAACGTGCCCAGCTATGATGAGGTCGTCGCCAGCGGCAACTACCCCGTCCGCCAGAGCAACCTGAGGCAGAGCATTTCTCAGCTGCCGTCCTACGAAGACATTCTGGCAGCTGTGGAAAACGAGGACTCCCGGCCCGCCAACAACTCCTCGGAGAACAGCCCTCTGAATGACCAGACGCCCGCTGCTGCCCGGTCGTCCGCCGAGCCGTCCGGCAGCCTGCCGACCCGCAGCGTCAGCCGGGCCAGCCGCTTGCTGAAGCCCCTCAGAGTAAGACGGATAAAGTCAGACAAACTGCACCTGAAAGACTTCCGCCTCCAGATCCGCACCCCCACGCAGAACCCAGTGACCATAGAGCCCATCACGCCGCCCCCGCAGTACGATAACAACATGCCTGAATTACAGTAATGGCTCAGCCTCCTGGCTTCCCAATTGGCCTGCGGCTGATTAAAAATATCTAATGGATTTTGAGGACTGGCGGTGATGTTTCTGAGAGCTGGTTTTAAGGGCGCCGTGAAGTAGGCAGATGTGCCGGTTGGGCAGGATGATGATGATGGAGACAGACACACTCCGGAAACGAGAACACTTTCCGCTTTATCAATGAAGCTTCGGGTCGGCTCATCAGCTCCGTCATCACACATTAATGCTTCAGGAACAGAGCAGGACAGCATTTCAGTTTTATTTATTACTCACATAAGATGCATTTCAACTAAGATATGTTGTTGCTTTAGTTCGTAAAATGGAAGCAAGAGTCGTGTAGAGGGAGAAACGGGAAATCATCCAGCAGATATTTAACTCTCTTAGTTTGAGATGTAAAAACTGTGATGAAAAGAAGTGAGGACCCAGATAACTTTTGACCCTTGTTGCTGAGATATTTACTTGTTTTTTTTATACATATAAGTGTTTAAATCTTAAAGATTATATGTTTTAATATTTTAAAGTGGTGGTGAATAAATGTTTTCCTTATTTAGTTTCTGTTTGATTATGCTGTAAACTTATGTTGCAGAATTTAATAAAAGATGGCTGGTGACTTCTTTTTTTTTTATCATTTGCTTGTAAAATTCAAGTAAAAGTCAAATTTGGGTAGTAAAATTTGCACAAGTTTTAGGGTTTTTCCCCCAACAAATCAAATTTAAGGTACTTTTCCGCCCTCTAGTGGTAGAAATGTTAATCTTTCTGATCCAGCTCCCTGTTGATGTGAAAATATAGTTTTTAAATGAGTAAATGTGTTTAGAGCAGCACCTTTTTTTTTTCTTTTTTTTTTTTAGCACCTGCTACTTTTGGGGGTTAAATGGGTTTTGTTTATTTATTTTTTTAGATCAGTGATGTTAATTACAAGTTTTCTTGGCTTGTTTTGTATTTAGCTCCATCAAGTCTGACCAGTTCCTGCAGAACAGAAACATTCACGCAGCATGATGCAGCCACCATTTGCGCTTGTAAAAATATGTTGTACGCTCGTAAAAATATTATATCGTTTCAGAAAATGCCGGTAGTTTACTGCAGGTGATCAGAGCATGTCTGATGTGAATGCTCCTCTGATTAACGCTTTCCTTGGAGACGATGGATTGAAATGTCTCTTTAAGATGTTGAAGGTTTGGTGAAATGTTTATTAATTTTATCCTGCTGAAATCTTCTTCATCTACGACTTTTCTGCTCTTTCCTCTACCAACCTCTGACGTTTCCCACGTCAGCTGTATTTACACAGACAGATGTAATTTAATCTAAAAGAAATTCCACTGGATTTTATTTTGAAGCTTCATGATTTATTTTATTTTATATTAAAGGTTATGAATAAGTGTTGATTTTTTCTCAATAAGTGATAAGCAGCTTGAAATACAAGCTTTATTTATAGTAACTTTGATGTTTCTATGCGTGCAGCCAATGAAACGTAAGAATATTACATCAGACCACTTTTAATGCAGTAAAATTTAAGTTTAATTCCTGCTGAAATATTATTTTAAATCTGAAAATGTATTAATCTTGACTGTACATGGTCTTCAATGTTGGCATATTTATACATTTTTCTTATAATTTCTTTATATTAAATAAAACCCCTGATAATTAACAGCTTAAACCAGAAGTTTACATACACTGAATAAAAGAAAACATGAGTTTTTGTCTCTCTGTCTGAAGGTAAATCTGACCAGTCTTTCTTATTTTAGGTCATAATTACCTAAAAACTGTTTCTATGATAAATGTTAAAGTGTCAGATATTTATTAGTAGGTAAGTTTATATGATCAGTATTTGGTATCAATACATTTCAAAGATAATATATGAAGCGTGTTGGTTAGCAGTGTTTACTGTAACCGATGTGCAAATCAATGGAAAAGTTTTATTTCAACTTAAAGTTATTGACTAAACACTCATATTATGGAGGAAACACTAAATAAGTGAAATATTGTTATAGTACAAGCTCATTGTTCAAAATAGACAATTTACAGAAAATCTATCTCCTGTGTATATTAAACCAGTTTGTTGGATAATTTTAATTTTAAATGTATTGACTAAACACTTTTGTTCTCTGGGAAACACTAAAATTACCATAAAACAAATCACAGAATAAGTAAAAAATATTTGGAGATTTCTGTTATTCTTCAATATGGACTATTTACAGGCTCAAATTTTACATCTAGATATTTGTGCAGATTAGTTTGATAATGGGTTTTACTTAGTTCTAAGGTATTAATTAAACATGCAGATTCTTGAGGAAAAACTAAAATTACCCCCAAAACAGACAAAAAGAAACCACCAAGTAATGGAGAAAGTTATTGTTCAAGACTATCCAGACTGTTTTTTTTAAATATGGAAATAAATGTCATATTTCTGCCAATGAATTGGTTACATCCTGACAAACCACGTCAATTAAACAGTTTCACTTCTCTGTAATTTCTTATTTTTATGCTGATGGTATCTCCAGGAGTATCTGCAGGAAAGGTCAAGATTTTCCAGGTTAGTGATACTAATAAAGTGTTTAATTTGCGTTACGTTTGCCGACTCAACTTGATTTCCAGGAGCTCCACCCTCGCCTGGGTTTGGTTTTCTCTCTGTGTGCAGCTGCCATGAAGCAGAGGGAGGAACAGCTGGCTGAGGGAAGAGCCAGCCCGGGGAGTCAGTCACATTCCTGGCTGGGATTCAATGACTGAACCAGACACAAACAAACAGAGAGAGAGAGAGAGAGGGAGAGACTCGCGCACACTGACTGGCTGAGTGGGGAGACAGACTGAGAGTACGCCAGACTGAGCAGACGAGCCTGATTTCGGAGTGCGTAAAACCGCAGGATCTCTGTAGCAGAGTATACCCGCTGATTGAGCGACGTCTCTCGCCTCGGCTTCACCACTTTTTATCCGTGAGTTTGGTTTACGGGAACTGACTGGCCTGTGATCCCGGCAGCTTTCAGTTTTCTGAATGGACGCGCTTGGGAAGCTTCTCCGCCGACATGGAAATGCGCCTTAGCGAGCTTGTTGCCGGATGCTGAGGAAGAAAAACCCAGAGAGTTTCCCCCCAGATTTCATTTTTGAGTTTCCACACACAGACAACATGGAGGGCTCCGGCTTCCAGCCCCATCCCGGACTTCAGCAAACTCTGAAGCAGTTCCACATCAGCTCCATGCGCTCCCTCGGCGGACCGGCGGCGTTCTCCGCCCGGTGGCACCAGGACTCGCTCTTCGCCAAGGATGGCAAATCCGCGGAGATCGTGCTCTCCCTGCCGGCCCAGACGCCCCCGGTCATGTCCGGCCCGCTCTTCATCCCGTCCGACCGCTCCACCGAGAGGTGCGAGACGGTGCTGGAGCGGGAGCCCATCTCCTGCTTCGTGGTCGGCGGGGAGAAGCGGCTGTGCCTGCCGCAGATCCTCAACAGCGTCCTGAGAGACTTCTCCCTGCAGCAGATCAACTCGGTGTGCGACGACCTGCACATCTACTGCTCCCGGTGCACGGCGGACCAGCTGGAGATCCTCAAAGTGGTGGGGATCCTGCCCTTCTCCGCGCCGTCCTGCGGGCTCATCACCCAGACGGACGCCGAGCGCCTGTGCAACGCGCTCATCTACGGCGGGACGTACCCGCCTCACTGCAACAAGGAGCTGGGCTCCCTGGAGCTGGAGCGAACCGAGCGCAGCTTCAAGGTTTACCACGAGTGTTTCGGTCGGTGCAAGGGCCTGTTCGTCCCGGAGCTGTACACGGGTCCGGCCGCCGCCTGCATTCAGTGCATGGACTGCAGACTCATGTTCCCTCCTCACAAGTTTGTGGTGCACAGCCACAAGCGGCTGGAGAACCGGACGGTGCACTGGGGCTTCGACTCGGCCAACTGGCGGGCTTACGTGCTCTTGGACCCGGACTACAGCGACAAGGAGGAGAAAAGTCACCTGGAGCAGCTGCTGAAAGAGCTGAAGGGGAAATACGATCTGACGGGGAAGCTGTCCAGTAAATCCTGCAGAGTAAGTCGTTTTCTTAATTACTGGATCTTTTTTTTGAAAACTTAGATTTTTGGACATTTCAAGAGCCTCGTCTCTCTGCTGCATTATGTACATTGATTAGCATTAATCCAGACTATCTTTGAGTTTACTTCTGCACCATCACACTCCTTCTTTACTTTACCCTTTTTCAAACATTATGATCACAGAAGTTATTGAGTTTTATGATGATTTTTAAAAAGTGCTGCTTGATTGTGAGGCGAAAACATTTCAGGTTTGCCAGAATTGAACTTTTTGTCCGTCCAAACTACTGTGTGTGGTAGAAAACTACTCTGGTTCTGGCCTAATTGACCACACATTGAAACATGGTGGTGGCAGCATCATGCTGTGGTAATATTATTCTTTGAAGCTGGTCAGAATTGATGGGTTGTTTCAGCACCAAATGGAAAGGAAAAGAAAAAACTTGAAACTGGGGTGAAGGTTCACCTTTTACACAATGTGAGATCTAGAGCCCAATGGCCTACTCAAAGTCCAGACTTAAAGGGGTAGTATTACATAAAATGTACTTTTTTAAAGCCTTACATCATGTTGTAATGTTATTCCATCATTAAAACAAATCTGGTGGGTTATTTTTAATTATTTTATGCATGTTTGAGAAATCCTTTAGTCTCCCATGGCAACCGTTCAGCTCCTCCAGACTAGCGGCAGCAACAATTAGGAAACAGCTGGTGGAACTGTGAGTCTGCTAAGCTTCATATACGAGCTGCGTCTCAGTGAAATGCTGGTAAAAATGTTACTAAAAGCTTAATAGAGGAACATTATTGTGATGGGTGTTGGAAAGAGTAGGAGCTTCTTAAAGAGACAGAAACCCATTTTCAAGGTTAAATTACAAAATCAAATTTGTCATATTTAATATGAACAGCATTTTCACAATAACTGAACGTAATAAAGTTACTTGGTTGTGCTATAAAATGGCACTGGGTGCCTGGAAAATAGTTGATACCGCCTCTTTAAATCTAATTGGAAATCTGTGGAAAGACTTGATGTTTGCAGATTTTCTACATCAGTCCGGCTGATCTGATTTATACTTTACTTGTTACTTGGAGTTAGTCTTTTACATGAAACCCAATTAAAATACAGAAGGATTTGAGGAACTTGACGTGACAAAATGTGAAAATGGAGTATCCATCCTTCCACCTACCCCCCTCTCACTCCTCAGGGTTATCGAAGGTCATCTGCGTCCTGATGAATGACCTCTCAATGACATATTTTATGAGTTTGAGGGAGGCGGGGCAGCGTCAGAAGGTTTGGAGAGCAGGGTTTAATGAGGTTTATAGAATATGGAAATGTGTGTGTGTATGTGTGTGTGGGAGAAAAGCAAAAAAAAAAAAAAAGAAAAGAGGGGGTTTGCGTGGGTCAGGGAAGCTCGGGGCCAAGAGACGAGGTGGCTGATTCTTCGTCACAGAGCAGCTGCTATGTGGGACTCTGATAATGAGTGGACTTCTCTGAATGCATCACCGTGGCGCTGCTCCAGCTTGAGCTGGACCCAAAAGATGCCTCATGCTAGGAAAAATGAAGACTTTTTGGTTTTAAGCGTCCTAAAAGAAGGGCTGTAAGCTAATTTATTGATTTCTAGCAGGAAATAATAGTCTGCGGTTTCCTTTTTCCAAGCGTCCTGTCAATGCGATTTATGTTTCCTAACATCAGAGAGCAGAGATGATGTATCACCTTTTTCAAAACGACTGTACTCAACTAAGAATAGCACAACTTCAACACATTTTTACTCAAGTAAAAAAGTATCTGGTAAAAGTTTACTCAACATCATTCAATATTTAAATAAATACATCGTCAGCATAAACAAAAACTGCAGGTGATTGTTTGATGACTTTTTGGTTAAAAGCTTGTTCTTCATTCAGTGAAGTTACTTATATGAAGTAGAGTATCCAGAAATGTTAAGCAAATATCGCTGTAATTTATAAGAAAGTTACTCAAGTAAGACGTAACAGCATAGTAAAAATACTCCCAATTTTTTTTCCAAATAGCGTAAATCTAATATTGATTAATCTTATCAATCAACTCATGATTAATTGATAAGTGGACATTATCTTAAAAACCTGAGTCTTTTGATAATATAAAGCACTACTTTTTTCATGTGATGAAATTAAAAAATACCATACTTAAATTTTAACATCATTTTGTGTCAGCTGTATTAAATACTGACTGAATAAACAGCAAATTGTGGTTTTCACACTTTATTCACAGACATATTTGAAAAGGATAACAAACAGGAACTTCTTAAGTTGCTTAATAAACAAATAAAAGGTGATAAGAATAGCAAAACACTTAATTCCCCATGAATAGGGAAGTACAGTCTGTGGTTGCTGTTGAA